GTTCCTAAAGTTATTTCCTTTGCTGGGGAATTATCAGCCAGCACATTGTCCCTGACACACAAGTGTATTGTGCTAATTAGAAATCTACAATATAGATCCCTGGTGTGCAAGTCTCTGGTTGTGAATTGCTGTTGAAAGGAACCAGACAGTTTGCGAGTGCAATTGCCAGGTGAAATGGCGAATCCTCTTTCTGTTGTCCTTCCAGCAATCAGCTGGTCTCAGTCTCATGTAGGATCTCTCCCCCAAACCATCTCATGGTTTCATGTAAAGGGTGCTTGGAATTTGGGAAGGGCCGGTTGCTTCTGCACATGTAAGGCCCAGGTTGCCATCCCTTAAAAACAGGCTTCTTACCATTTTGTGAAGGCCACAGAACATGTTTCACATCAAGCTGCAGCACTTTCCGCTGCTGGGGAGGAGATGCCTCTTACTTTACTAAGGTGCAGAATCAAAGTAACATCCTGAGCAGCTGCTTGGGATTCTCAGTTCTTGTTTGGAGAAACATTCATGCAGTCTCGTGGTTTGCAATTCATCCAGTCTTAACAAACACATAAGCACATGTTGTTGGATCCCCCTTTTCTGAATCAAACAAATAAATCCATGGTTTAGTAACAAGGATGATGTGTTGCATGAGGGGATTGTGCATGCTGTAGATCTTCAACGATTCCAGGAGAAGACCGTGTGCCTTCTCACCAGCATGAGGGCTCAGTTTTCCCCTAAGCAGTACTGGACTGTTGATGCTTCCTTGCAGTCCAGTCTCGCTGGTGACCCCATGGGTCTGTACCTAAAGCCAACTCAGTTTACTTCTGGCCTTCTGAAGTTTAGAAAAAAAATCAAGGTAAAGTCGTGGCATCATTTTTTGCTGGCTAATGCGCACATACGCCAGTTATCCGAAGTTGCGATGCCTTCCCAGATGCATCATCTCCATTGTACACTGTGCTCCCCATTTATCTGAAACCGTTGTAATGTTGTATGCTCCCAAGTGGTACTGTATAGGGGGCTTATACATCATTCATTTTCAGAGAGGAAATGTGGTTCGGTGGTTAGACTCAGGAGACCTGCATTCCCTGCCATGAGACTTTGGGCTCATCAGCCTGTGCTTTTGTTTCTCTACCTGCTCTAGGCTGTCTTGTCTATGTAGTTTGTAAACTGTTTAGGGAAGAGATTTATCTCCTATGGTATATAGCCTCTAGCAGAATGCAGACCCAATCCCACTTTCAGGGTATGACTATAGTGGAAACTACATATTTTTACATGGATTCTGTCAAAGGGTAAAGATACTGTCTTCCTATCACAGTGGGTTTCTAAGTTGTTTGCCTGTCTGTAAATGGAGTGTAACATCAGACTAAGAAATCCTCCAATGCTCAGGCTTGCTGGTGGGCCCCCAAACCTGGGATTGTATCCTGGTATTGTGTTGTCTGTGCTTCTTTTCAGAGCTTGCTCTAACAAGGTGGGGTGGTGTTGTAGAAAGGAAAAATATAGCAGGCTGGGAGAGAGATAGCAGTCAGTCTTGCAGTTTTGTGGCAGCACCCTGTAGAAAAGCTGGAGCGTATTGCCACCAGAAATTGGAATGAATGAGCCAGTGACAAGCGGGTCAAAGTGATCTCAATAGGGAAGGTTGTCAGTATTCTCCAGCTTTGTACGATTTTCTTCTAATACTGAAATTCAGTGCGATAACCAGCATCTGCCCATTATGTATGAGAGCCTGGGTTAAGTCGCTCAGCTTCTGCACTTATAGGGACTGCATAAAATCATAGGCTGTATCTACATTATGGACTCCTGCCAGCACAGTTGTCAGTCAGGGGGTGTGATCCCCGACTGACACAACTATGCCAGCAAAAGCCCCTAGCACAGACACAGTTATATAAGCAAAACAACACTTCCCCTGTACAGCTTATTCCACTCGGGGAATGGTTTTACTGTATTGGTATGATCTGAGCGCACCCACAGCACAAGGGTTTTGTTGGTATAGAGCGCCAGGATCCCTACACCCCCAAACCCTCCTAGCATGGTGCTAGCCCCAAGAAGCAGGACAAGAATCACACCTCGGATTTCCTAAGCACAGCCACAGTGACGATGTATGGGGCAAAGGGGTACCAGCGACTCGAGCTTTAAGCGCTTCTTCTCACCAGGCCACCTAAACACGGTTGTTAACTGTGCCTTTGAACCTTCTTCCTGTGAAAAGGAAGCCTAGCGAGCTGAGAGACTAGGAGGGTGGGAGAGAGAGAGCCCCCGACCTTGCTTGGTAGCCTGCTTTTGTACCGGGCAAGGGCAGGGAGAGTCCTTTACCCAAAGACAGCATACGATCCCAGCTGGGCGGCTGTATGAGGACCAGTCCACAGCTTTAGATGCCAGTGTGTGGTTTGCTCGCCAGGAAATGTCTAATGAGCTGGTGCTGCAGCCCTGTTCCAGTTTATTTTGCTGGACACTCCCTAGGCTGTTGTGATGGGTTCCAGTCCACTGGCCTTTTGTGCTGCTAAGCTTCCTGCAGCCTGAAACAGGCTGCTGTGATGTTACTTTTATTGGCATCTATTGGCTCCTTGTCCACTACTCCTGCACAGGAAGAGGACTGTGAAGCCCAGTGCTTGATGTTGTCAGAGCTAACACTAGCTCCCATCCCGGCTCATCAGTCCTCTCCCAGAACTGCCCACGATGAGACTTGATGGGTTTAAAGTTTGAACTCTCAGCCTATGCGAGTGATGCAGCACACAACATGCACATAGTTTGCATAGGGTGTAAAACAACTTACCCTTTACCTCAATAGGACAAGAAGCACACAGTTCTAGACAAAATAACAATGCCCATGTGTGTTTCTTTTGCCTCGGTTTCCTCACCACACTGAAGAGTTTGTTGGGTTTATCGGCATCCTCTGTGGCTCCTTGGGTGGTTTTGGAGCATAAGCAGATCCCCAGCCATGAAAGCACAGTCCTCTCTCTCCTGCCCCAAAGCTGCCTGTCCTACTTTGAGTCACATGAGGTTCTTTGGTCCCACCACTGTCTTCCCATTCATTGATCTTTTGTTCCTCTGCCCTAATTCTTCTCCCAAGTTGGTAGACTGGGTTATGCTCACTGTACAACAAGAGCATCCTCCTTAGCATGCCTGTTGTTTGAAGGCGCTCGCATAACAACTCTGAGCACAACTCTGTTCTCCCTGGACAGAGGGACTCATCACAGTGCTGTCTGTGTATTCCTCATGCCTCAGTGCATTACACGATGCAGCAGTTTCCCAGCAGAAACCAGGCCGTGCAAGTTGTGCACAGGCTGCTTCCCCAGATTGTCACAGGTGGCGGTCTGGACTTCCAGCTCGTGGAGGGTCATGTGTGTGCATTGTGTAGACTGTTACAGGCTCTTTCCTCCTCTGAGCAATGTGTGGCGGTTGGGAATAAGCCATCATTGATCAGTGTTCATCCCTAAACCCGTGCCTGACTTGAAATGCTTTTGCTCTTCGTTCTCTTTCTCCCCTCAACTCTGAACAACTTCTTCCTTTGCCAGCTTCCTGGGCAACTTTCTGCATTGGGTGCATCTCATCCTCTTGGGGAGCCAGCTTCCAGGGGTGGTGTTGTGTCTGGACACTAAAAGGGACATTGCAGGCTGGTTTCTGGAAGGGGAGGGGAGCTGCTGAACAGAATAGTTGGAGCTGCCGGTCCTTTCCCTTCCGAGGTGGGAAGAGCACCTGCCCCCTGAGCAGTGGTGCCGAACTTGGGCACCTATACATCCCTGTGGAGTCGGTCTTGTTAAAACAAGGAAACTGAGTAATGGTCTGAGCCACTAGAGGGCTCTGAAACAGCCCCAGGATATTACATTTTTACGTTTCTCTTTTTCTCACTAAAATTCATCTCCCGGAAGAGAATGGGGGAAGGACATTGCCTTTTGCTTGATGGTTTTTCCTAGGGGAGTGGATGAGAGGTCAAAGATGGAATATAAATAACAGAGGTGTCAAAGAGGTATCAGGCAGCATGGTCATGGATTAAATGGTCCTTTTATTTGCTGTTGTCCTGTAATGGCCTTTTGCCTTTAAATAAAGCATGCACTAGCCACCTCTGTTTCCTACTAACACAGCATAGGTCAAAAAAACCCATAAATAAAAGGATCTGTAGTAGGGAGTGGGTTTGGTGATTAGATATTTAATTGGGAAGCAGGTCTCCTGGGTTCTCTTTGTAGATTAATAAAAAACCTGTTGACCCAGCCTCTCTGAGCCTCAGTTTGCCAGTCCATGAAATGTTAAAAAAAATTAACACATATTTAATGCTAAGTAAGAAATGAAATTGGAATAATAATGCTGGTGTTCAGGGTTAATTAACATTTGCAAAATCACTTTAGGTTTCACCTGGCCAATGTATAGTGGAAATCAGGATTAGCAGAGATGTTGATTTTTTTTTTTTTTTTTAAGGTTTTAAGACTCTCCAGTGCATGTGAAGACTGTGCCTTTGAAACCACACTATCAATATTTTCCTTGTTGAAATCCTTTCCCTGCTGAAAGGATATTAATCTCTTGTTTTAGAGTTTGGCCTACCAGTTAAACTACTATAAATATAATTCACCTGTAAGAGAAATATAAAATGAAACGTCTCTTCGCTTCCTTGGGACAGGCTGATAAAACTTGATAATGATTCCTGCACTGGACTCCTGTGGACATGGTAGAATTGTACTTGTAATAAATTAGGCTTGTGCTCTGTGTCCTGCTGTAGTGTAAGGCTGCCTCGGCATGTTCATTATAATCTCCTGCTATCAGGGGATTTAAAAATGAACCGTAAAACTTCATTCCTGGAGTTAAATTTAACAATAGAGGTATCACCCAGGGGACACATCTGTTGCTTTTAGGGAAGAAAAGCAGCCCCTGCTTCGGCTGCTTTCCATTCCCAGAATTAAAACATTACCACTGCTTAAGCATGTAGTTCCCATGTGTGTTGTTTTTTTATCCTTTCTCCCTCTGTGTAGTGGGTGGATGGTGCATGGAACATTTCATAGGTCCATGCCGTACTTATTTTCTTTGTGTTTTTGCAGGGTGACTACGACCCCAGTAAAACCAAAGTCCTTCATTTCAGTATGAACCCAGCAAGCCTGGCCAAGCAGCAGCGGAAAGAAGAGCAGCAACAACTCCAGGAGGAGTGTGAGAGGCTGAGGGAGCTTGTCAGGGTGCTGGAAGGAGGAGGCTCCATCTCTAATAACCCTGAGGGGGTTGGAAGCTTGCAGTCGCCACAAGAAATTGCAGGTGCATTTCTGGTTTCTAGTCACGAAGAGTCTCTTTCCCCTTTGTCGTCACAGTGCTGCCGTTCAAACTGATAATACCCCCCAGCCAAGTTAACTGGGGACCCTGCACATCATTTGGGGCTGGGGTGGGCAGATACGAATAAGGATTGGAAGGCACCAAAGGAAGTGAGTATGGGGTAGCAGCACTATGATGGTTTGATGAAGAGGATGTCTGGTAAGGATAAATAATAATAATACTTGGTACTTGCACATGATGAATGAAGCATGGACAAAGTGACCTTGCCTGGACAGTGCCGACAGTGGGCAGAGAGGAAATATTTCCCTCTTTTCAGGGCTGGGCTGAGCCCTCGAGGTCTTGTGGACAGCAGAAAATAACTCTCCCTGCTGTGGGGAAACAAGTGGTGGAAATCTTTTCAGACCTAGCTTAAAACAAATTAATATTGTTTATCAGTGTATATGGGCCCCATTAATCACAGCTAAATTCAATATGCCGTGAAAATAGAGTACATCTTTCACTAGGCTTAAAAGCAGCTCGCAAAATCGGAGTCTCTCCCACAATTCAGAGCCTGTCTTCCATTCACATACATGAATGAGACCTTTTAGTACAATAACCATGAGGTCAGCACCTCCCATATACACTCTAACTCTGTAAATCAAGGTAACAATATCAGTAGCGTGACCTGTCATCTAGAACGACGAGTGGTGGCCAGGCAGAGTTTATTCACACTGCAGAACCCAAGAGAGCTTATTGTTGTAAGTGAGACCCACACATGCTTGCCCTCAAAGCATCTCTGCTGTAGCTGAACAGACAAATAAAAGAATCTGCACAAAAGGCAGGCAGGGCGGTGAGGAGCTAACCTGTTGTAGTGCTGGTACCCACAGATGGCGGTGCACTGTAAGGTGGGTGGCCAAGATGGTAGCATTTTTCTCTCAGGCTGTATACACCCGAGATTTGAGACTCAAGCAGTGTCTCAGCCTTGGGTGAAAGAAATTTTGTGATGAGATGCTTTCAGCACGGAAGCATTTTGCAAATAGCTTGCTTGTTTTTCATTATATCAAACAACAGTGTTTATTACCGAAAAGAAAGCATTTGCCTTCACGCATTATAGTGGATACTGCTGTTATACAAATGAAAATTACAACAGAAAATCTATATAGCATACTTGAGGTTGTGGAGTGAAACCTCCCTCTTTGGGGAAGGAAGGGATAAGGTGCCACTGGACCTTAAAGATGCAGAGAGTCTCTCTCCCTGGAGGCATTTGGTTTTGTTTGTCAGTAGCACCCCAAATTGCTAGATACTTTCCAAACACTTAAGGAAGACAAACGCTGCTCGCTGGTGCTTCCAACTTAAGATCCCGGTGGAACAGTTGGGCTTCTCAAGGATAGCATTTACTGCAATTTGAATCTGAATTTCATAGCCGTTAAGCTACAGTAAACCTGGCTGTTTATTGCCCCATCTCACATTGTGCTGCTGCATAGTTTAGTGTGTCACATGTTGCAGGTATATATGTGTGTGTCAGTGCTCCTCAAACCCAGTGAGGAGCATCCTAGACAGTGGCAGAGAAGATGCAGAGGTGAGGCCATCTTTGCGTCTCTGTGACTGGGGTTTAATCTACAGCAGGCAAAACTAACCTGCAGCACACATGCCACAACTGGCCCGGGCAGCCTCTGTGTGTGGCATGCAGCAGATCCGGGAGAGGGAAGACAGCACAGTGGCAGGTAGGGCAGGGAGCCAAAAGCAGAGTAGCAGATCAGACAGGGAGCACAGGGCAGGGAGCTGAAAGCAGAGCAACAGAGCAGGCAGGGGAAGGGGGATTGGAGTGTCACTTGGAGAGGACATGGGCTTGATTTGTGACACACCTGCCAGAAAGGTTGGTCCCCCACCGATCTATAGTAATTGGACCATTGCAACTGAGGTATTATATTTCCCATATATGCCCTCTGGGGTTTTTTACTCATAATTTCCATCCTGATTCTACTCATTTGGTTTGTTCTTTGCTTCCCATCAAGCATTTTCCATGCCAGTGTGTTACTAAGTTTGTCATAGCGTACATGGGATGCACTTTTAAGCTGTTTTTTTTTCCCTTTTGAGGAATCAGACAGAAAAACAAACAGTTCTCTGGGGTTCAGCATGCTTTCAGCTTGTCAGAGGCAGTGTGCTTGTGTCCCTTCTCCCCTTAGCCCTCTGCTACATCATTCTGGCTTTTGTTCACAATCTTGTAAGGAAAGGAGAACATTGGTGGCAGCATCTAGCTGGGGTTGCATGTGCTTTGGTTGCCTTCTCTAGCAATCATTTATCACAGTCACAGAGGGACTTTGGCAGGCTCCAGGTGTCTCTAAGCGCATGTGAAAATGTCTCATGTAAACAAAATGGAAAAACAATACCGAGGGGACCTGTGTCTGGACGATCTCTCTGACCAGGGTGTGGAAAGTCACGCTGTTAGTTTGCATGCAGTCAGATAGAAACTCCTTCTTCCACTGCTTCCTGAACTTGAGTGAATCCCTGCCATGCACAGACCCTATTGACAGTATTGCAGCCACAAACTCAACCCCTTCCCTCTGCTGCAGAACCATGGTTGTTTTCAACGATGTAGTCCTGCAGGGAGGCTCATTCAACTGATTGAGTATATGGATGTGCTGAATACTTGGGGCCTATACTGCTAGGATATTAGTGCAAACAGTCCAGTTATATTATTTAGCACTGAGGGGGTTAGTTGCACCTTGTCATTGGGTGCGTCTCTGGGACATTCATTATGGCTAGGTACAGACTTTACACATAATCCAAAGTAAGTGATTGGAAATGGAACCAAACCCATAACTGTGCAGAAGTTCGGGTCTGTGCACTCAAACGTATTTGAATTAGGTTAGTTTGGTGCACTGAACTTCGGTACCAGGTCCCTTATCAAATCATGTTAGGTCGCTGTCTGCTGGCATCCCAGGTGACTTTGAGGCCCCCCCACCCCTCCACCTTGCAGGTAGGTATGCTAGCATTGGCCTATGCTCAGCTACTCTGGCTGAGTGCCCAGCTGGCCTTGCCCCTGGGCTCTTACAGAGCAGAGTCAGCACAGTGGCTGACAATGGAGGGGGAGAGGGGGCCCTGCAACTCAGTCAGGCTCCCTGGTCTGCACCCACTTGTGGGGGGCATAGGGGTTCCCAGGTGGGGGTGTGGGTGCCCACCCAGAGACCCCTATGCCTCCACGAGCAGGTGCAGTGCCATGGAGCAGACCCAGCTGCAGATGCATGTGACTGGTGCTACAGAGGAGGGGGGTGATGGGGTAGGGGAGCTCCACTGTGTCCTGCAGCTTGGTCTGGCTCCCTGGATCTGTGCCCACTCGTAGGGGGCATGGGAGTTCCTGGGCAGGGGTGCAGGAGTCTGCCCAGGGACCCATGCCCCCATGAGCAGGCCTAGCACTATGGAGCAGACCCATTCGCAGGGGATGGGCAATCCCGATAGCCTCTGCTGCCTGCCTGTGGTTGACAGATGCCAGCAGTGGGAAGAGGTGTGCTCACCTGTGCCCAGCAGCCAGTCAGGGGTGGTCCGCGTGCTAGGCTGCTCTTAGCAACCTCCAGCAGTCCAGGGAACCTGCAGGGCATGCTGGGAGGCATGCAGGGCACCTCCAACCTCCTGAACTCGGGCAGTGCAGGCAGCCTGCCCACCCTCCCTCCCCTATACTGTGTTCGGTTCACTCCCGAACTAACCTACACTATGTACAGAAACCTGCATAAGTTTGATGGATTCCGCCTCAAGCTTTTTGAACGTCTGCCTAGCCTATGATTGCAGGGAAGTGTAGACCTACCCATGCTAGTTGAACTGTCTCACTTGAGTATTTCTTGCTGCAGCAGTATAGTATAGACTAATTGTCCAAGTATTAACCATCCTTATTAGGTGGGTTGTCAGGCATGCAAAAATGTTCCCCCTGGCTACTACTGGTTCCCAAGCTAGCAGGGGATATATCTGCCCTATGCTCCAGTCACTCGAGGCATAAAAACTGGGGATGCTTAAAAACATAGATGGATCACAAAAATCCATCACAAAAATACTAATGTCTCCCCATGTGGGACGTGGGAGATCCAGGTCTAACTCGCCAGCCGCGCTGCCTGCAGGAGTGGCAGTGCTGCCGTGCACCTTCCACTGTAACATCCTACAAGGTGGGAACCAGCAGCTTGCTGCAGAAACTCTTCATTAACATCAACTGTAGCTGGTGTGATGAGCAACTTCTGCAGTTCACTTAACCGTGAGTTGTAAGGGATCACTTTTCAGTGTCTCTCATGGAAATGATTCTGTACAGAACAGCATGGATTAGAAACTCAGCAGCATCTCTTGCTGCTAGTTACAGTCTCTATAAAGAAAGGGGCAAGTGCAGCTCCATGCTTTTTGGAGGTGGGAAATCCCTTCCTTGCAGAACTGGATAGGGAAAAGGTGAGAACTAATCCCTCCTCCCAACACAAGAAAAGAGTGACTGTGGGTAGGTAAAGGTGAAGCAAGACAGTGAAAGCCATGTGCAGCTGTGCCTAAGTGCAGCAAATGGGCAAATAAGTGTTTTTATTGTTACACTTCTGCAGAAAAGGACCTGGGGGTTATGGTCGACAGTAATATGAACATGAGCCAGCAGTGTGCCCTTGTTGCCAAGAAGGCTAACGGCATACCAGGCTGCACTTGTAGGGGTGTTGCCAGCAGGTCAAGGGAAGTGATTATTCCCCTCTATTCAGCACCGGTGAGGCCACATCTGGAGAACTGTGTCCAGTTTTGGGCTCCCCACTACAGAAAGGATGTGGACAAATTGGAGAGTGTCCAGCAGAGGGCAACAAAGTGGTGAGGGGGCTAGGGCACGTGATTTATGAGAAGAGGCTGAGGGAACTGGGCTTATTTAGTTTAGAGGAAGAGAAGACTAAGAGGGGATTTAATATCAGCCTTCAACTCCCTGCAGGGAGGTTGCAAAGAGGATGGAGCTGGACTATTCTCAGTGGTGACAGATGCAGAACAAAGAGCAATAGGCTCAA